TAAATAAATAAATAAATAATAATTTTTTTTAAAAAAATAGTTTAACCTAGATACAATCTGCTTGTAAGTTTGAAATGCTTCTGACTGTTTTCCATCATTAGGCAAAAGTAAATTTGACCAAAAATCACTTCATATTAATCTGTCTCACTCCCAGACAAAATTTTTGTGACAAATCAAATAAAAACTGTATTTGTTACATTTTTTACAATATCGTAGATATGTGTACAAATTAATATAAATATTAAGCTTACTCAAAATTTTTTTCCTTTCTAATTGGTTCAGCAATATAATAAAAATATACCTAAACACAGGCAGTATGGTAAAAGGGTAAAAAAACAACTGTGGAACAAATAGACCTGTATTCAAATCCTACCTCTGCTACTTACTAGCCTAGGGTAAAAGGATAGAAAATTATATCCTAGCAAACTGAACTTGAAAGCAAGCAGGAGTAGATCTACTGACATCCAATAAAGTAGACTTTAAAGCTAAAGTGATTTTTAGAAAGGTCATTTTATATTGATGAAGGGGAAAAATCCATCAAGAGGGAAGTCAGGACAGGAGCTCAAGGCAAGAGCTTGAAAGTAGAAAAGCAGAGGCCATAGAGGAACACTGCCTGGGGCTTGCTCCCCCTGGCTTGCTCAGCTGTCTTTCTTACATAGCTCAGGCCCACCTGGCTAGGGATGGCACTGCCAGTGAGCTGGGCCCTCCTATATCAATTAGCAATTAAGAAAATGTCTCACAGACATGCCCACAGGCTAATCCTAGGGAAGCAATTCCTCAACTGAGGTTTCCTCTTCCCAGATGATTCTACTTTGTGTCAAATTGACAAAAACTAACTAGGACACAGAACTAGAAAAAAAAAAAAATCCCTAAAATTCATAGGGAAGTGCAAAAGACCCCAAATCACCAGAGAAATCCTAAACAAAAAGAGCATGCCATAGATATTACAATAGCAATTTCAACTTATCCTACAGAGCCAGAATAACAAAAGGAGAACTGCATTAACACAAAAACAGATACATACATCAATGAAGGCCCGGAAGTGATTGTCAACAAAGGAGCCAAAAACACACTCTGGAGACAAAAACGGCCTTTTCCTCAAATGAGCTAGAAAAACTGGACAGCCACATGAACAGAAGTTAAACTATACTCTATTCCTCACCCTTTTAAAAAAAAATCAATTCAAAAAAGATCAAAGACTTTAATAAAAATCTGCCAGAGGAAAACACTTCAAGACATAGGCACAAGCAAAAACATTCTGAAAAGGACTACAAAAGCTAAGAATAATGGCAAGAATTGACAAAAGGAGGTAGAAATAGGTGAGAGTCAGCACTAGATTGAAACTATTTGAGACTGGTTGCTGCTGTGTGAGGGAAGAGTATGACTTACACATGACCACTGGATGGGCTGACTAGACTCCAGTGGATGCATTTACACTGAAGGACATTTGGGTACAAACACCTGAATGAACAGGACTCAGCATGCATGGCAGAGTACATAGGGTTCGGTGGGAGGATGGGGGGGGCATGGATTGGGGAGGGGGGTCTGGATTTGAGTGGGAAATGTATGAAATTTAAAAATAATAATAATAATAATAATAATAGACAAACTGACAAAAGGGATTCCATACAAGTAAAAAGCTTCTTTCTGCACAGCAAAGGAAACAACTAACCAAGTGAAGTGACACCCTGCAGACAAGAAAAATCTTTGCCAGCTGTACATCTGAGGGGATTCATCTCTAGAATGAAACTGCATCATTTCTAGGAAAATGATAGGTTATCATATTAAACAAAATAAACCAGACTAAGGAAGACAAATAACACGTTTTCTCTTATATGTGACTCCTAGAAATGTGTATATGTACATGCACATGTGTATGCATGTATGACATGAAATGAGAAGGGAGATTATTTGAGAAGAGGAGGGGGACGTGGGAGATAAAGGAAGGATGGAGAAAGGAGAGGGAATGAGGGCGGTGAATATGGTCAAAGTTATACTTGAGTTAAAATGTCTTTAAGAAAACTATCACTGGTCATGGGTGGTGGCACATGCCTTTAATCCCAGAACTCAGAGGGCAGAGGCAGGCAGATCTCTGAGTTTGAGGCCAGCCTGGTCTATACAGCAAGTTCCAGGCCTGCTTGGGCTACAGAGAGATCCTGTTTCAAAAGACAAAAAAAAAAAAAAGAAACCTCTTACTGTCACCCATGGTAGTGCCAAGAGTTTAATCCAAGCACTTAGGAGGCAGAGAGAGGCAGCAGGATCTCTGTGAGTTCAAGGTCAGCCTGGTGTACATACTGAGCTCCAGACTATATAGTGAGATAGTGTCAGAAGGAAGGAATTATGATAAATATATGCTAATAAAAATACATGAGACTGTCTCAAAAAAACTAAATACATAAGTACTAATAGACAGAGGCACTAATAACTCACAACAATGGATACAAAAAACTTGGCAGAAAAATCAGCAAGAACATAAAAGACTTCAACAAAAATACCAACCAATTAAATCTGACATCTATAGATCTCAAACATCCAACAACTACAAAAATATACAACATGTTGGACAAGGTAGTACACGCCTTTAATCCCAGCACTTGGGAGGCAGAAGTAGGCAGACCTCTGTGAGTCTGAGGCCAGGTTGGTCTACACAGTGAGTTCCAAGTCAGCTGGGGGTTTAAGGAGACCCTATCTCAAAAAG